ATGTTGAGTTCGGTTCTTGCTCATGTCTACTTTCCCCCCTTGAACCGGGCAGTGAACGTTGAAATCAGTCACTGCCTCTCCTGTCTACCTGCCTATCCAGATACCTGGACCACAATACCTTCGGTGGACCCATTCCACCACACTTGGCACTGCCCAACCTCGTTGAGCTGTGAGATACTCCATGTTGGCACATTCTGTTCACACTCGTCATTGGACCTCCATTCCTGTTCATCCCTTAGCTCCCCTCTGACCTGCACTCTCTGCCTAGCTCCATCTTTTAATTCATGCCCCAGTCCCTTTCATTCCGCTGCTCTGTGCAATGTTTCGTTTGGGATGTCCTGGCTGCAGTCAATTATCTGACAATCTGTTCACAGGAGGCATCCCCAACACCTTCACTAGGCTCACTGGCATGAGAACTCTGTATGTCTCTTCCCACGCTACGTACCTCTTCCAGTCTGCTGTGTACTGCTGTCATAACGAGATTCGCCTTTCCAAGGTGTACACGAGCATGAGTCAAGTAAAACTCGTCTTGTTTTTCATTGACTCGATCGAGTTTGTCGAGTCGAGTCTAGTTTTACTCAGACGGGTTTTCACTCGTGCCTGACTCATCACTCGACTATGGATGGGTTGTTTTTACTTGGCCTGAGTCTCTTTTTACTTGTCCCGAGTCGAGTAAAACTCAACTAGTGGCACCCTTCCCCCCTTTTACACCCCCCCCCCCCCCCCCCCCCACACCCCCCCTCCGCACCCCCCACACCCCCTGTTTCCCCCCACGAGCCGGTCGCACCACCTGCTTCACCCATGCTAGTGCTAGTTGCCTCTGATTTGTGTGTCTGCTCTGCTTGACATGACAGAGACATTGGTTTCAACAGTCTCACCTCAGGCCTTCACGTGGTGGCTCAGATGACATGGCTCGCAAACATGTGAGTGTTATTCCCTCTTCGCCACCTCAGCAGACTCCGTTTGACTCTTGTGTAACTTTCCCTCACTTCCCATCGTCCACTTTGGCTCCCTGCAACACCTGAGACACTTTCCTGAACCCTGGATGTGCAGACTCCTCGATAACAACAACATATCCGGTGTGCTTCCAGCGTCCTTAACAGCCATCAAGGGCCTCGCATCTCTGTGAGTCTGCTCCATCCACCCCTCACCTCGTCATATTAACAACCCCTTCGTACCTACCTGGTGGAATGCAACAATGGCTACGGTTCTAACTACCCGTTTTTTAAGTGTGCCTGAATAGTGTTGGGTTGGGGCCCCTTATAGAACTAGTTCACCTCCCTTTTTCTCCATTGTAATTATGCATATATATATATCCACATGATGGTCTGCCTCCTTGTGGGCTCGGCTGGCATTCGACGAGACATTGAAGGATTGCGCGTTGCTAGTGTCGGTGGCTGCATTAGAAGGTGGTTCCGCCGTACAATCGATAATAAAAAAAGGACTTCTTGAACGGGAATATACTGGGCGCAAGGGGCTGATCGATAGAGTAACAGGTGAATATCTTAAGGTCGACTTAATGTGGCCAAGTAGTGAGCCAGGTTTGGTCGATCTAGGCTTTACATTCCATGTGTGGTTGGAGTTTCTACTTGTAGTGCGGTGCAATGTAGTAAGGTGCTGTAAATTTGAAGGTGTGTTCAGTTTGGGGGTTTATTTGCCCTATCTCGGCTCGGCAAATTGGGGTTGGCAAACATGCGTGTCAAAATCGGTAGCGAGTGGCGATTTAGTCGCGCAAAAAACACAACAAAGAAGGCTTCCGTTGAGTGTAAAGCGTATGTACGAGCGTATGGCATATGGCCTATATACGGAGCATGTATATGCCATACGCTCCCAGCCAGGAGCCTATATGCCTACTTAGATGGGCAGGGCACATGAACACCTTTACTAACCCGTTGTTTTGTGCGCACTTGTTCTCAAACGTTGGCAGTGGCCTGCACCTGAATGGGTGTGCTTTTTTCCAGACACCTCTTCTGCATGAATGAGCTTCATCATCTCTCCAGCACACATGTATCTTAACCCTCAGACTTTTAAATAACAACCACTTCACTGGAACCTTCCCTCATTCAATTTTGCTCCACACGAACCTTCAACGCCTGTAAGTAGAACATTGGCTTCTCCCCTCAAACAAAAACTGGCGTTTTTCATGGTGGAAGAAATGATGCCATTTGCATCAAATTATTGCGCTCACTCTTTCGTCCATAACTGAAAACGTATCTGGCACTCGCAATCGGAATGGCAATGGCAGGGAACTGAGCAACAACAGTTTCACCGGTACCATCCCCCACAAATTGACCAACCTTTACAGCCTGCAAAACATGTGAGTAGCATCGTTGCCCGGTCCAGCATCAGGTTGTGAGCAGTTGTGAGTGCACCAGCTTGCAAAATAAAGGGTTGTCCCTGGATGCGTTATGGGACCTAAACGGACGGGACATGAAAAGAGAACAAGGATCGCCAAGTAAGGTAGTGGCTCGGGGTTGAGGATCCTGTAGCAAGTCTGCCCATGCTCTGGCCTTCTACGTGGAAATGTTAGGTTACTAACTTTTAATGCTGTTGATACCATACTCTACCGTTGCCCAGTAATCTCAATGAAAACAACTTCCGTGGAACTATTCCATCCGGCCTGTTTCAGCTATCCTTGCTGTCTTCGCTGTAAGTCGCTCAACAGCTCCATCACCCCTGTTTTTAAATATTTTTCTTCAACCTTTTCCCCTGCTGAGTATGCATAGAAATGTATACAAGTATCCCTGACAAAAGTATGTCAAATGGAACTTTGCGAGAACTCCACTGCCAAATACTCAATCAGGGAATCCGCATGCCTGCTATTTGTTTTGGATCTTGCCACTTTCCTGAACCTTCAAATTTCTTTCCAAGGTCACTGTTTGGTAGAGGCCCACAATGCGTGCATGTGATTTGGCAAGTCTCTTGTGTTCCTAACACAGCCAATCCTTCCCTCTGTTGCCGCTCCTCCGCAACACAGGCAAGTAGCTAGCAACTTCCTTTCTGGGGGCCTCCCACGGACTCTCAGTGCCCCCACTTCTCTTCACACCCTGTAAGGGGTGCAACCACTGGGTGCCACCACTGGGTGCCATCACTGGGTGCAACCACTGGGTGCCACCACTGGGTGCCACCACTGGGTGCAACCACTGGGTGCCATCACTGGGTGCTGCCACCATTGTGTGGGGCCATGCTTTTCCCTTCGCGCGTAACTTTCATGCCCCTGAAATCTTCATTCTCTCCTATTGTACCCTGCAGTAGCCTGGCAGGAAATGGCTTCACGGGCTCCCTGCCAAACTTCTCGCGCTGGAAAGTCAGCTGTGCCCAGATGTAAGCCTCCCCACACTCTCTTCCTCCCCTTCCCCCGCTGACACCCCCCCTGTCCCACTCTCAATATCGCTTGCTCAATCCCGTTCCTAACACCGTCGAATTCGTGCTGGCCATTTGCATGTATTGCACTGAATTGCACCCATGGTTAGCAGTTTAAGTCATTCCAGTCATGTCAGTTGCTCTTGCTGCCCCCTCGCGTGTGTTGTGGCTCAGAGATCTCAGCAACAACAACTTCACGGGGTCTATTCCTGACTCAATCTCCACACTCACCACCCTCGATGCCATGTGAGCCTTCTTGGGTTGCAACGTGCCCTTCAGCACCTGTCATCATCAGCATACGACCATCAAAACCATTTTCATCTGAACACAACACAGTGAGTTGCCATGCCCATTGCCATCTTTGAGCCTGGAGTTGCAGAAGAAAGGTAGCAGTGGCTGGCAGCTTATGCCAACTTTGAGACTGGTGCTTGTGTCTTAGCTGCGTATGCTTACCGTGCACTTCAACCAATGTACCCACTGCATTGCCATGGCCCTGCAGTTTTCTGAACAACAACCAACTGACAGGCACCATTCCCTCTGCCATCTTCACCATGACCAATCTCAAATACCTGTCAGCATCAGGGGTTTACAGCTTCTCTTACCAAGTGCCCATCAAGCGTGTCCACCTCTGCCCAAAGATTCTTTCCAGCATCAGCCTTCACTGCTCTTGCTTGCGTACGCCACTTCTCATTGCAACGTCTCTCTGCCATTACCCTCTCCAGCTACATGGCCAACAACCATCTGAGTGGAAGTCTGCCAGCTGCCATCAGTCAACTGCAGAAGCTGGAACAGATGTGAGTGCTATTTGCCTTCCTCAGCATTTCTTGAGAATGTTGGCAATGTAGAAGCTTTACGTGCAACAAAATCAAGGCAAGTTTAGCAAACGCTATTGCAACACGTATTTTTCAAAAGTTTTGCCATGAAGATTGAAGTTTTAAAACACGCAATCGTGCCATCGCCAATCCACCCTAAACCCTATCTATTGTCAGTAGAGTTTGCTCTTTGAACCACCTTCCGCACCTTCCTGCCTCCTACCACTGCTCTGCTTGCCCCCGCAGCTGGCTGGACAACAACAAGATTGAGGGCCCTCTGCCATCTGGCCTGTGCTCGCTGCCCTGGCTGTGGCGCATGTGAGTGGCTGTTGCGCATGTGAGTGGCTGTTGCGCATGTGAGTGGCTGTGGCGCATGTGAGTGGCTGTTGCGCATGTGAGTGGCAGGGGCATATCCACGTGTCTATCACACGGGAGTGAGAAATTTGACTGAAAATGTTGAAACACTTGCACAAACCGATGGCCAAACATCCTCCAGTAGACTGTTGCTAACTGAAAGCAAGTTACACTCCTCATTTGTGATTTTGAATTGTAAGGAAACATATCAGCCAGTTTTATCTCCGTGCCTATGCCATTTCGTATGAGTCTAATGAATAGTGTGGCATTACGTGTGTTGGGCTGCTGGCAGCCTGGTGAGCAACAACTACCTGTACGGACCCCTTCCGGACTGCCTCTTTGACAAGTGTATCAACCAAATGTGAGCCAACCGCGTGTAATTGATTCCCAGTCCCATGCATGCAGCAGCAATCAACCTCAACATGGTCAGTCCAATGAGTGACGCAAGGCATTGGTTCATTGTGGTAGAATATGATGGGACTACCTCCAAATGCTCCAGCCCCATTTTCTGCCTTCCGCCTGGCCCCCCGTGCTCCCCCCAGCGATGTGAGCGGCAACAGCCTGTACGGGCGCATCAACCGCAACTTCAAGAGCATGGTGGCGGATGGCGGTGCGCTCATCAACTTGGCTCACAACTTCTTCTTCGGTGATGCCCTGCTCCTCGCTGCCGGCTGCCAGGTCTGCCCCGCTGAGATCACCCAGCCCAACAACCTCGTCCTGGGGGACACCTTTGATGTGTTTGCTGGCAAGTGCGATACTGCTGCTGCCACTGGGCTGCGAGATTTCTCCATGGCGGGGGCGGGCAAGGAGGCGAGGGTGAGTGTGGCGGGCAACTGCCTGACGCTCAGCCCGGGCGCGGAGTGCGCAGCCAACGCCACCCAGCGCAGCACGGCAGCCTGCCAGGCGTTCTGCAGCATCACGGACAACGGCCCGTGTGACGGCCATGGGGAGTGCGTGCCGCCTGCCCCCGCCTCCCCCTCCAACTTCTCCTGCCTCTGCCATGCCGGCTACTCTGCCATCGACTCGGGCAACGGTTCTACCTGTGCCATCGTCAACTCCACCACCACCACTGGTGAGAGAAGGAATCCTCAAGTTAAGAGAAGAATTTGTATTCGCTCAAGTGAGCGGCAAAGACATACATTGAAGAGAGATATGAAGCAGAGATTAAGCCTAGAATGAACATTGGGCCAACTAGCCTAGTGGGGCTGGTTGGACGGCAGGCAACTGTGTATGGTTGGCCACCACCAAAGTGAGGTGGTAGGACAACTCACTAAAGTTGGCTGTCCTTCACATGTGACGACCAACAAATCAAAGTTGGTCCAGTACTCTACTTCTCAAATAGGGTTTACCTTGATTTCAGTGTTTATCCAATATCCACCCAGCACTAGAACATGTAGGCATGAGTATGCCTGTCTGCACATCCTCACTAACAATGTGGCTACACTTCGTTGCCATCTTTCTCCATATTTCTGATCCTCTTTGAATTGGATGTGTTCCCCACCCATCTTCATTGATGTTTCCTCCCCCAACTACTTGCCCTATGCCACCATACCTCTGTCAACTCCTCTTCACCCCAACACTACCTTTGCCATCTTACTGTATGACAGCAACCACTTCTTTTGCCATTCCCTCTCCCTTCTTCCTCGGCAGTCTCGTCGCTCTCCACGGGCGCCATAGTGGGCATTGCTGTGGGCTGCTTTGCTGGCTTCGTTCTGCTGGCAGCTGTGCTCACATGCCTGCTGTGGCCCCACGGACCAAGTGAGACCCCCACCCTCGCGCCCATGCTGCGTTACTCTTGCACTCCTGCACTCCTCTTCCTCTGCTCCTGGCCTTCCTCCATTCTTCCGCTCCTATCCCTCCCTCCGCCTCTCACCCGCCCCATGGTTCATCGTGCGTGTGTTGTTGTGTTGTGCAGAGAAGTGGCAGGGGCTGGAAGTGTGCGAGCAGTACTCGCTGCAGCAGATGGTGAGGGCCACAGACAACTGGTCCAAGGAGAACGAGCTGGGGAGGGGCGGCTTTGGCATCGTGTACAAGGGGTACTCGCCACAGGGGCAGCTGTGGGCCATCAAGCGCTCCACTGTCATGACCAACGACTTTGAGACAGAGGTGAGGCCCAACCTGGGAGCTGCTGCACTGTGCGCTGCTGGTGAGACATCCTCTCACACAGTGAGGAGTGAGCCTTCCCCAAGATGCATAGTCAAAAGGCATATCCAGGGCTAAACCCTCTCCTCGTTTTCCCTCTGAATGCATCATCTGCAGGTGCGAGCCATGGCGACGCTCAACCATGTGAATCTGGTGCGGCTGCTGGGCTTTTGTGTGGATCACAATGTGGAGACGGGCAAGCAGGAGCAGATCTTGGTGTACGAGTTTGTGGGTAACAGAGACTTGCACCACCACATCTTCAAGAGAAAAAGTAAGTTTTACGATTCGTGCCTGAAAATTGGGTTACATGTTTTCCCAAGGTCAGCAGGTTAGAAGCGCTATATGAAAAACCACTATGTATCTCTCAGCTCAGAACACTTGCAGTACACCTCACAACGCTCTCTCTGTTCTCTGCACGTCCTTCTATGACTCTCTCTTCCAGGCCCTCTCTCACTGCGGCAGCGACTGCGAGTGGCACAAGGAGCAGCAGAGGGGCTGGCATACCTGCATGGGTTTGAGACGCCCATCATTCACCGCGACATCAAGCCCGCTAACATCCTTGTGACGGCCGACATGCACGCCAAGGTGGCTGACTTTGGGCTGCTGAAGCTCCTCACCCACTGCGAGGGGGATGCGACAAGAGTGGCGGGCACTCCCGGCTATGTGGACCCAGATTACAACCGCACACACGTGGTTACCACCATGAGTGATGTCTTCAGGTTGGATTGCTTCTGGAGTGAATGCTTGTTTACAGCCCCGCCTGATTTATCTTGCAATTCCTTCCTCTGCATCTTTTAACCTGCATCGAAGGTTGTGTATGTTTTCATGCTTCACACCTGCCGGCAGCTTTGGCATCGTGCTTCTGGAGCTGTTAACTGGCTCGCCACCAGTACACAACCAGTCACACATCAGACATTGGGTACGTGCAATGGAAATGTGAACTGTGAGGTCATTTTTTGTCTGCTATGGAGCGAACATCTGATTTGTATCGCACTATGATGCGTCCATTCACCTCAGGCAATAGCGAAGGTGGAGGCGTTTGAGTTGGATGAGCTCAAGGACAGCAAGCTGGAAGCAAGCGAGGAGGCCATAGTGGCCTTGGCGGACCTCGCTCTGGACTGCGTCAAGATGCCGGGCACTCGGCGGCCCGACATGAAGGAGGTTGCTCACAGCCTTGGCGCCCTCATTGAGAAGTTCTGCCCTAACAAGGAGCCCTGCGAGTTTGTAGAGGAACACTCTTCCTCAGGAAGCCAATCCAGCCAGCCTGGGGCTCCCTCTAGAGGGTCTCTAGCGTCCAGTACCATCAGTAAGAGTGACATCTCCTCCACCGGCCTTGGTTCCAGGTTCTCTGTGCTAAACAGCTGGGTGCAGTCTCGATTCACTGGAGGCTACTAAGCCAATGCAGCATCCACACCATGTTTTATTGCATGGGCTGAACAGCAAGCAGGTTTATGATGATGATCTGCCTTCGCTAAGGTTGCATTCCTACGAGCAGGCCTTGCAAAAGGTGTTGCACAATCCTGTGCTACATTGGCTCTTCGTGTCACAGTTGAAGCTGTGTTTTGGAGGCCCTTAAAGTCGGCCTTTTTATGCTTATGTGGCTTCAAAGGGCTGATTTGAAGGAGTCCCTCCTCATAGCCCAGCAGTATCTCTCACCCCTTCCCCCAGTCCACCCGTATCTTCTGCCCCGCCTCCAGCCCACCTGTTTCTCTCAGTCCTTTCCCCAGCCCTCTTGTTTCACTCGCCCCTCCCCTTAGCCCACTTGAATCTCTCGCCCTCCCCCCCAGCCCACTTGTTACTCTCGCCCTCCACTGGCACTGCCCGTTTGCTTCTCTCACCACTCCCTTGTCGTCAAACTATATTTGTATATGTTTGGTAGGCTAGGTTGCATATATTATGTTACACTAAAGAGGGCATAGCTTTGGTTGATATAAGCCCTGTATGCCATCCTGCTAGTCATTCTCTTCAGTACATTTTCTAACATGGTATCAGTTAGGTTGGGTCTCTGCTTTCGCTCGCCCGTTCCTAGCCTGCCCCTAACCTGCACCGTCTCCCTTTGGGTTTCCCATGCCGTCCGTAGCGCCATGCAATTGACCGCCATAGCCGCCGCATGTCCTGGCCGTAGCCTCGCACCACCGCTTGTGCTAGCAGCTGCCTGCTCGCACGACCGCGCACACTGGTGCTCCCGCCCCATGCAGCCACGTCGCCGCTTGAGCTCGCACAGCCACTGCCGCCCAAGGTGCTGCTACTGCTAGCGCCGCCGCTGCTCGCGCCTCCGCCGTTGCCTAGGCCACCTACGCCACCGCCGCTGCTGCCTAGGCCTCCGCCGCTGCCGCCTGCGCCACGCCACTACTGCCTGTCAAAACATATGCTTGTTATTATCTAGGCTATATTGGGGTTAGCCTTAGAGGGTACAAAAACAATCTCGACACTCTAGTCTTGTACACCAATCTTGACCCAATCAACCACCTTTTTCCCTATGACTTAGTCTCAACATGGTAACTAGAGCAGGAGGTCTCTAGGACCTAAGAATCGGGCCCACCTAACTGTGTTACCCTACCTGCCTTGCCTACAGCCCGCGCGCGCCTCGGCTGCAGCGCGCGTCATCCTTTTTTTTTTTTCGCGCGCGCCTCGGCTGTTAGCGCGCGCGCCCCTGTTTTCAAAGCGCGCGCCACTGCTAGCCCGCGTCGCCCGCGCAGCTCGCGTCGAACCCGCGCAGCTCACCGCCGCGCGCAGCCCGCCGTCGCGTGCAGCCCGCCGTCGCCCCACGCGCCGCGTCTGTCGCCAGCGCGGCCCGCCGCTGCGCCGCGCGTCGCGTCGGCCGCCTGCGCGGCCCGCTACTGCTTAGCGTGCTGCTTTAGGGGCTCGCGTGCGGCCGCTCCTGCCTGCTGCCTGCTGCCTGCTGCCTCCTGCCTGCTGCCTGCTGCCTCTGCCTTTGCTTGTGGCCTGGTGACTGCTGCCTCTTGTCTGCTGCCTGCTGCCTGCTGCCTCTGCCTGGAGCCATTATGACGACGCCTAACGTTCTAGCGTTCGAGCCTGACGGTCGCCCCATAGAGTTCGCTGTGTGGTTAGACGATCTCCAGCCGCTGCTGGAGGAAGTGTCGGTGCACGCTCGCTCACTTGCTGCACCTCCTCTTCTTCTTCCTCTGCATCCTTGGCCTCCTCTCCCCCATTCACAAGGGACCGTGGTCGGGGGTATGATCATTGTACTGTTTCTTCTCTTTTATATAACTCTGCATGTGAACTGACCTTGTGATCATTTGCTTGTGCTCGGAATGTGTGGTGACTTCATGATCCACACTGAGCTTGCTTTCCTTTTTTTGACTGGTCTTGTGACCACTTGTTATTCCCCACTTTGCCTATGGGGGTGTGTCAAAATGTTATAATGCTTACATTGTGTAGGCTGTAATGGGGTAGCCCATAAATATTACAACCCAATTAGGGTTAGTATTTGTACAAACTTTCTGTTCAATGCATTCATTTTCGTTCAGTATTCTGACACGCTTCGCTTATGTTGTAGTGTTCGACACATCAGAAGCGCGAACTATATGTTTTCAACACTCTCTTTCGCTTCTTGAGTGTCATCGCCTTCGTTGCTAGTGACATGGCCTTGTCCAGTCAGCAGTGCCTGTGATTCACTTTTAGGCACGTTAATGCATTAGGGTCCCTCTGTGTAGAATCCCAGATCGTCAGTGTCCCAAAAAAAAAAAAGCCAAAAAATTCAGTGTTACCTTAAAAAAAAGTATGATGCATCAGTGTTCCCTTTTTGTAAATGCTGATATTGAACTTAAAATAAGATAACACTAGGCAAGAATGCGATGAAACTTCAAGCGGATGGAAGGAAAGCATGGAGCAGAATGGGATGGGAGCCTGGATGACAGGTAGCACAGCTGGGCGACGTGGATGCATCAGTGCTTGCCAACAGGGCCCGTTCTAGGTTCTGGGGCATCCTGAGGCCCTAGGGCAACTTTCTAGAACATGAAAAAATGCCCTGATTTGTCAGAGCAAATTTTCAGAGGCTTCATGTGGTTTCAGGGCTTCTGCATAAATTTATCCTGGCCTGTCAAGGAAAAAATACGAGTGTTCAAGGTTCTATTTTGAACACTTCTAGTGGCACCACCATTGTCGTACTCTTGCCAACTAATCCAGGGTAAAGAACACCACCGGACTAGACCAGAGAACACCACCGCTACTCTAACAGCAACACTGGAAGGGTGCATGCATGGCACACAAGGAGACGAGAGTGTTGCCTTGCCCAACCTGTTCCCAATCTTATGGGTTTGGCTGGTGCGCTGGGGGGGTTCGGAACTGTCAAAGGAATCGTGCGAAGGCTGGAAAAAGACAAGGGAAAAAATTTCCACGGGGAATTTTTTTTCCCCGGGAACGAGAACACCCTCCCTTCCCTCCCCTCTTCCCTTCCCATAGGTGTAAGCAATGGCCCAGAAACCCTCGCATCGTAGCCTGCCAGCATCGCTCTATTGCAACCTTGTCATTGGTCAACCCACATAATGCTGCAAAAGTGGCCAATGATCGGACCAAGCGCGCCAACAAAGCAGCCCTCAAAGCGAATAACACGGGGCAAATTTATCTGGTAGTCACCGCCAGGCGGTGCTGACACCGCGGGAATTTGAGAATCCCTATATTTTCGGGCAACTACACTCGGAACGTGTAGGAATCGCATTGAGTGTCAGTTTCGTTACAACGTAGTGTAATAAGTGTACCTTAAAAAAAAACCTGAAAGTTCAGAGCCATCTGGCCCCTTAAGGCTGAAAAATCTGTCCCCCAAAAAGCAGAACACTGGAAAATCAGGGTAGGTACAAAAAAATTCTTGAAAATCAGGAATTTCAGGGAAAAATTCATGATATCGTAGGGCCTGCCAGTCAGCAGCATGCAGTACTCGAACTTCTTGTCAGAATGTTATAATTGTCTAGCCTGCAGTGGGGTTCTCTATAGCGAGTACAACCCAATTAGGGTTTCCTATATGTATGCCAACTGCTGCTAGTGCAACCCCCTTTTCCTTCTCATTCCTCATTTCTTCACATGGTTTCAGAGCATCTACGCTCCTAGCCTGTGGGCCCCACCCAACTGCTTCCGCTGCTACTCTGTGTGTTGCACGCCCCGTGGCGTGCGACCTCTTTTTTTTTCCGTCCTGTCGCCGCCCCTCTAGGCCCCTCGCGGCCCCTTCGCGGCCCCGTCGCCGCCACTTGCGGCCCCGTCGCCGCCCTTCCAGGCCCCTCGCGGCCCCTTCGCGGCCCCGTCGCCGCCCCTTGCGGCCCGTCGCCGCCCCTATCGGCCCCGTCGCCGCCCCTAGCGGCCCCGTCGCCGCCCCTATCGGCCCCGTCGCCGCCTCCAGCGGCCCCGTCGCCGCCCCTATCGGCCCCGTCGCCGCCCCTATCGGCCCCGTCGCCGCTTCCAGCGGCCCCGTCGCCGCCCCTATCGGCCCCGTCGCCGCCTCCAGCGGCCCCGTCGCCGCCTCCAGCGGCCCCGTCGCCGCCCCTAGCGGCCCCGTCGCCGCCCCTATCGGCCCCGTCGCCGCCTCCAGCGGCCCCGTCGCCGCCCCTAGCGGCCCCGTCGCCGCCCCTATCGGCCCCGTCGCCGCCTCCAGCGGCCCCGTCGCCGCCCCTTGCGGCCCCGTCGCCGCCCCTTTTCGGCCCTGCCTCGACCCTGCCCCGGCCCCGCCCCGGCCATGCTCCGTCGCCTGTCGCGGCGCACCGGGGGCCCGTGCATCGCCCCCCCCCCCCCCCCCCTTTTCCCGTTGCCTGTCGAGGCGACCTGAGAGGGCCGCGCGCGGGAGGGGCGACCTGGGGGGGGGGCGAGCGTCGCCCCTTCTGCCGCCTGTTTTGGCGCCCTGGGAGGCCGCGCGTCGCCCACCCCCCCCCCCCCTTCTCCTCCATCCCCTGCTGCAGGTGCAGCGGTGGGGGAGGGTATGGGGGTGGCGGGTGTGTGGTCTCCCCTGCTCCTCCTCCTCCTCTGTCTCCCACTGCTGCAGCTGCCGCTGAGGGGGGTGGGTGTGTGGGAGTCGACGGAGTGGTGCTAGGGGGTGGGGTGTGAGTGAACCTAGGGGTTTTTTTGGACAAGTAATCTGCTGCCATCTCGGACGTGGGGCAGTAAGATAGCTCGAGTCTCCCTTTCTCGATCTCGTCCTTCACGAAGAAATAGCGCAGGGCAATGTGCTTCGTTCTGTTCGCGAACCCGCTCTTGTTCGCTATGCGAATTGCAGATTGATTGTCGTAGAAGAGGGAGAAGCTGGGTAACTGGGCCAGCTTTAATTCTTCCAGTAATTCGCCAATGTACAGCCCTTCCTTGGTGGCTGAGCAGAGTGATATGTCTTCAGCTTCAGCAGAGGAGAGAGCATTTAGTTTTTGCTTGCTCGACTGCCACGAGATAGGACCGACGGGCTCGAGTCGATAGATGTAGCCGGTGCGCGATCGCCTGTTATCAGAATCGCTTGCGTGGTCAGCATCCACGTAGCCGATTAGCTTTGGAGTACTGATTCCAATCTTGTGGTAGGTTAGGCCGATTGTAGGTGTGCTGACGAGGTAGTGTAACGCGCGGTCGAGTTCTGCCATGTGCTCTGCTTCGTGCCGCTTCAGGTAGGTGGCAACTTGGCTCGCCGAGTATGACAGATCCGGTCGGCAGGTGACGGCTGCGTAGAGCAGACAACCCAATTTTCGTTGGTAGTTACGTAGGCCGTCAAGTCCAAGCGGATTGGATTTTTCCTGGTGATTTCCCGCGGTGTAGCGATATGGCGTGGGGATAACGGTTGGAGTCAGTCCGAAGCGTTTTGCGATGGTGTTAGCGTATTTTGCGGCGCTGAGATTGATCGAGTTTTCTCCGTCGAGGATGTTGAGTCCAAGATAATGAGTTACGGTAGAAGAAACCGTGAGTGAGAGATCCTGTTGCAGCTCCCCTTCAAACCAGGTGGTGATGCCGTCGGTGGAGCCTATGTAGAGCAGGTCGTCTACATACACGATGAGCAGAATGTACTAAGTTTCCTTTGTGAGTCTGTACAGCATCGGAGCTTGCTTGATGCAGTAGAGGGATTTTAGCAGTTGACAGACTTGATTAGGGTCTGTGTCGGATCCGTGTGGTTGCTCGACGAAGATTTCGGCGTCGACGGGAGCGTAGAGAAAACGTGTTAGCCACGTCGATTTGGCAGAGCTTCTTCCGCTTCATGGCGGCTATCGCAAGGAGGATTCGCAGAGAGGTATGTCGGCTGACTGGCGCAAAGGTTTCCGTGAAGTCTCGTCCGTGTTCTTGGTCGAAGCCACGTACGGCCCATCGTGCCTTGAATTTGTCCATTGTTCCGTCCATTTTCCCGTGAGAATGGCTTTGTTGCGTGCCACTCCGATGGGTACTATCTTCCAGGTGTTTCTGTCTTCCAGCACTTTTAAATCCCTGTCCATGGCTTCGCGCTATTTTTCCCTGTGCTCCCCCCCTCAGAGCCTGCTGAACCGTAGCAGGCTCTCATGGCATTGGTGCACCATGGACTGCGGTGTCGAGCCCAAGAATCTGCAGCCCACTCTGTGTGTAGCGAGGGAGATTTGGGTCATCTGGATGAACTACTTCGTCTCTCGCTTCTGGATCAGGCAAGAAGTTGGGGCCTATGCGTTCTGAAACGTTTGTGTTGACTGGATGGGGTGTAACGTAACAATTGTCGGCGAAGTCGTAGTAGACTTCGACGTTGATGCTTTCGCGAGGATTTTCGTCGTCCATCGGAACAGGTACCGAGCAGTAGGGAAGAGGTCCGGCTTCCTCGGATGCTCCTACCACGTTTTGCTCATCCCAGTCAGCCTCATCTGCTGGTGTGGCAAAGACTCGGTTGCCACGGAAGTCGCCCGTGAGGTCTCGTTCTGCTGCCAAGTTGTCCAGATACGTTTGGAGAGTGAGTCGCTCGTAGAAGATCACGTCACGTGCTGCTACTGTTTCCTTCGAGTGGACGTCAAAGTTTTTCCACGCGTTGTAGTGTTTTTCGATGCCCAGGTATATTCCCCACTGTGCGCGTTGTGAGAATCGTCCAGCTCGTGCAGTGTGTGGTTGGTACTATACCATGCAGCCAAAAACTCGTAACATTTTTGTGTTGCCCAATTTTCCTGTCCACAGCAGATGCGGTGATGCGTTGTTCGGAAGCGAGGATGACGAAAGCAAGTTGTGCAACAGCACAGCGTGGTCCATCGCCTCAGGCCACTGATGGTTGGGTAGCCGCATGCTACGTAGCAGCTTGCGCATGATGTTCTGGAGGGTTCTGTCCATCCTTTCTGCCACGCATTCCTGTTGATGAGCGTACGAAAGAGAGACAAGTCGCTTGATGCCTCTCTCCGCCAAGTATTGCTTGAACCGCTATGACTGATATTCTCCTCCTCTGCCTGACTGAAAGCTTTTCAGCTTCACTCCTGATTCTCTTTCTGCTACTGGGAGCCAAGCGACGAATGCTTCTCCGCCGCGACTCGGAAGATTGAGGTGCCAGACGTATCTGGTGGCGGCGTCGATGAACGTGATTATGTAGTTGTATGCTTCTTGTTCGCTTTCGCGGGTGTACAGTATATCGCTGTAGACCTTCTCCAGTGGTGCGTATGCTGGCGCGCTCGGGTTGTGGTGAGAGACGAACGGTTGATGGGGTAAGTCAGCTTCAGGACAGGTAAAGCAGGTTCCGCGAACTCGTTGAAGTTCTCTGTCATCGAGTTCTCTGTCACCAGAGTTCTCTGTTATCGAGCACTCCTGCTCTTATCGTGTTGTTCAGTGTCGTGTTGCTTGGATGTCCTAACCTTTGATGCCATAGTGATTCGTCGGCGCGATGTCCAGGAGAACGTCTGTACATTTCGGAGTTGGAGTAAAAGCCTGCAGTGATGTTGGCGCTTCTGTGGACGTCGCGTAGAGCGGGAGTCAGCTGTTGGGCGGGAGTTGGTGTGGTGTCGGTAACGAGAGTTGGTGCTGATGAAGAGCTGTCGATTGGTGCTGGTGCTGTTGTTGTCTCTGCTGCTGCCGATGTTGATGCTGCTGCTGTTGTCTCTGTTGCTGCTGATATTGATGTTGCTGCTGATATTGATGTTGCTGCTGTCGTCTCTACTGCTGTTGTCTGTTGGATCGCTGCTAACACCCTTGTTCGTTCTGCTTCAGGTATGGTGTGTGAGTATCAGAAACCTCCGGGGCTGAAGTCCGGGTCGAGATATGGTGGGTGCGACCAAGTAGTGAAGTTGACGATCGCGTCGCTGTCAGCTGTTCCTTGATCTGGAACGAAATCAAGAACGAAGACGTTATTCTTCAGGACCGCTTTCCCGATGTAAAGTCCACCCTTCCCGTTGTACAACTTGAATTCCAGAGTGGTGCTGTCTGCTTCGAGGTGTATTTCTTTTGCCATGAGTTGACTGACGCTGAGTAAGTTGTAACCCAGTCCTTCTGCAATCAAAACCTTTGACATCTGTAAAACGACGTTAGTCTCGCGGGACTGAAATTGAACTACTCCTTGTCGTCGTGTGTGCAGGTTCTGGTTGTTGGCGACGGTGATCACGACTTCCCGGTTGAGGCGTTGTTCCCGTTGAACGAAGCGATTTGACGAGCACATGTGTTGTCCGCAGCAGCTGTCCAAGAACCAAGTATCTTGACCAGACGGTTCGCTCTGGGCGATGGCTCCATACGCCGGATTTGGTTCTGGTGATTCGCGACGAAGCATGCTTTCGTCGAGCAGTTCTTCCGTCGAGTAGGTCGGTGGTGAACCAGTGATGCAGGAATCCATTCTTGTCATGCAACTGATGATATTTCTTGTTCCTCGTGCAGGTCGTGTTGTCGTTGAAGGCGTCGTTTGGTTGGAAGGATGCTACTGTGTGGAAGCCACTTTGCTACTTGAAGGTCGAAGCTGACGTGGTGGTGGTGTCGATTGCTGCTGATTCGGGCAGTGAATACGGGAGTGGCCAGACGTTTGACAGAGGTGGCAGAATGATGGTACGTGTCTTCGTCTGTGATGCTCGTTTTGTCGGTTGTTGCTGTTGTAGCGCCGCTGAATGTGAAAGGCGAACTCTGGTGCCAATGCCTTTTTCTTGTGACGTTCTTCTTGCAGGTCCATGTCTTGTTGCTCGGCGTGAATTTCGGCGCAGAGATTTGCTTCGGAGATTCTTCCGTGGGCTCGACGAATGGCTCGAGTGGAGCGCCACTGATGACCGAGACATGTGATAACGACAGTGACGAACGCTTCTTCGGATATTGATCCGCTGCATCGAAGGAGTTTATCGCGCAGACAGCGACATCGATTGATATATGTCATTCTCTTTTCGCCGGGTTGCATTTGGATTGTTGTCAATTGCGCCATGAGGCGATTTTGATTAACGCTGTCGGTTGCTTGATACAGGTTCTTCAGGTGGATGTACGCGAGCTCGGCGGAGTTACCATATCCGCGATAATGTGAAGAAGAATGTGAAGACCGGATGTTCTGCTGCTCGTTAGACGCTATATTTCGCAGGATTATGGTGTACGCCATTAGTGACTGATACGTGTACTGCTGTTTGTCGTATTGCGTCCCGTGTGCTGGATATGGCAGAGGACCGTCGAAGAAGCCAAGGATTTGAGCGCCTTCCATCATCAGCTCGAACTCAAAGGACCAGGTATAGAAATCATTGCCGTCGAATGGTGTTGTCGTTTGGAGTTTCAGAACGTGTGCAAACTGTGACTGCAGTTGAAGTGCGTTCAACGTCTTTGTTTCTTGTCCTAGTGGGAGCCGATTCGGCATGAAGCTGACGGAGCCGCGTTGAGGCTCGTACGGTGCGAAGGTAGGCTGCTGATTTCCACGCGCAAAGGATGAGCCTTCAAGGCTCATGGGAGTGACTCTGTTGTTGTTGTCGCTGTTGTTTGACTGCGCAGGTGCCGCTTGTTGATGTTGCTCGTAGAACAACATGAAGGAAAACAACTTCTCCATCATGCTTGGGTCGAAGCCGGTTGCTTGATTAGTGGGAGTTTCAGTGGACTCAGCAGCTGGTACTTGGGTTGTGCTTTTCTCTGTCTGTAGTCCAGAGGCTGGAGGTGGAGAAGGAGTGTTGCCGGGAGATTCAGTAGACGAGCTTCGTTCTTTTTGCGTAGCCATGCCTTATGTTGTTGTAGGAGTTTGAACAGAGTTGTCTTTTGTCTTGACTACTCTCATACCATGTTGGGCTAAGAAAAACCCTTTGGATCGTTTTCAAGACTAAGACTCAGAGTAGTGATGTATTAACGGAAGCGTATTAATGAACTGGTTGAACCACCTTGCACTGGTATGTGAGAACAAGATAAATTGATAATAGCAAAAGGATACAAATCTTTATATGATTACAAAGGAATATGAAAGGTTTAACTAACTGTAACTGCTGTTGCTGTTCGATACAGCGACGACGCGGGTAACTGCTCAATAGTGAGTCAGTTGTGTGTCACTGCGCGCTACTTTTCGGCGAGTCAAAGGTCGCTGACCTTTGACCTTCACTTAACCTCTTGCTGTTGTCTTTCTGTCAACCGTTTTGGTTGACTCGCTGTTGCTTTGTTGTAGTTCGCTTCGCTTATGTTGTAGTGTTCGACACATCAGAAGCGCGAACTATATGTTTCCAACACATGGCAACGCACGGGCCTATGAAAACACAAGCCAAGAGAAACAACCCTGGCAAATCGGAGCCACTGCTCTAGTCAAAATGTAACCCTCACATTAAGGGATGTTGAGGAAAAGGTCAGTCCTGTACACAGCGAAGGGCGGGTGGTCCAGTGCTTTGCGTGCGATATCCCCATCCTGGTGAATCCGCGCAATCAATGAAGGCAGGTCTGGGAAGTCAGCCTGCTTACAACAAGAATGTGGAGAAAAGGAAAACAGTGAATGCAAGGGGAATAAATGAGAGGGGGGGGGGGGGGGGGGAGGGGTGGGGGATGGGAGGTGCTGCTAGCAGGGTGCACTTGGTCAGGCCATTTTGACATACCGTAACATCATGAGAGACAGAAAAAAGAATAGCTGATATGCCCTCATCGTACGGTGCCGGTATAACCGGAAAGCATCTGTATCTCCGTTTCCCCTTGCCACCTTGCCCTTTCCCCTCCCCCCAAGTCCCAGCCTCACCTCTGCACGAATGTACCCCACAACGAGCAGCCTTAGCTCTTCCCCATAAAAGTCCTCTCCAAAGTCATGCAACAGCCAGGGCTCCTGAGGGGAAAGGGGGACGAGGGGAGAAGCGAGAGGAGAGATGAGGAGATGAGGAGAAGAGGGGAGGACAGGAGGAGAGGAGGCGAGGAGGGGGGTGGAGAGGAGACGAGAGGAGAGAAGAGACGAAAGGAGAGGAGAAGAGACGAGAGGAGAGGAGAGGGGAGAGGAGGAGAGGAGGAGAGGAGATGTGGGGAGAGGGGGAGAGGCTGTGGATGAGAGTGGAATCATGGGCAAGGGAGAGGAGAGTCCAATGCTCACACCCACCACATCAACCAGGGCTAGTGAGGGATAGGGGTGGGAGAAGCGAAGGCGGGTAAGGAGGTTCGATTCGACGTGAGCACGCACCCACCCACACTCCCACGCACCCACCCACACACGCACCCACACAAGCACCCACCCACACACCCACCCACACATGCACCCACCCACACACGCACCCACACATTCACACACCCATGCACCCACACATTCACACACCCATGCACCCACACATTCACACCCACGCACCCACACACCCACGCACCTGCATACCCACGCACCCACACACCCACGCACCCATGTACCCACCCACCCACGCACACACACGCCACGCACGCGCACACACACACAGTCGCACCCACCACCGTCTTATGTGTGTTGTTAAAGAAGGGATTCCAGCCCACGCTCATGACCATCTTGAACACGCCCCTCCCCGGCAAAGCGGCCCACCCATGGTAGATGCCACACGTGTGATCTGCCAGGTGCCCTGCGAATGATGAGGATGGCAGGTTGGCTGGTAGAGGATGGGGATGGAGGTTTGAGTGGGAGAGAGAGGAAGGGAGGGGGGTGTGGTGTGGTAAAGGAAGTGAAATAAGGGGATGGGGAGGGAGGAAGTGAGATTGGCGGCTTGATTGGTACAAAGGTGCCCTCTGTCCCACCCATGGTAGATCCCACACGTGTGCTCTGTCAGGTGCCCTGCGAATGAGGAGGATGGCAGGTTGGCTGGTGGAGGATGGGGAAGGAGGTTTGAGTGGGGGAGAGACGACAGGAGGGGGGTGTGGTGTGGTAAAGGAAGTGAAATGAAGGGGATGGGGAGGGAGGAAGTGAGATAGGTGGCTTGATTGTAAAAAAAGCGCCTCGGTCCCACCCATGGTAGATCTCACACATGTGCTTTGCCAGGTGCCCTGCAAATGATGAGGATGGCAGGTTGGCTGGTAAGGTAAAGGATGGGGGTGGAGGTGGAGGCTCAGCAGAGAAGGGGATGGTGAGGGAGGAAGTGAGATAGGCGGCTTGATAATAACGTGCATGCCTCTGTCCCACCTGTGGTCAATCCCACAGGTGTGTTATCCTTGGGCGATGCAAACAAGATGACGGCAGGTTGGTTCGGAGGAGAAGACTTGGGGAGACTTGGCGATACAAACAGTAATGTGGTAAGAAACGAGACGGACTGGCACTTGACAGGAAACGCAACACGCATGCATTAGAAGAAGCCGTATGAGACAGACTTGGGGAGACTTGATTTCCACAAACGCCATACCATAGCATCACAGCAGATGCCAATAATAAGTTTGAAAGTCCCTGCTCTGGTGATCGACTTGTGCACTACAGGAAGAGTTCATCTGTGCACTAAAAAGCACAAGTCGATCACCAGAGAAGGGAAGAAGTACTGCATCTTTGTGGAAGGCCAGTATCCTCTAGGACCCATGTTCAAAAGCTGACTTTTGAGTCGACTCAAAAGTTGTGAAAGGCCAATCTCCTCTAGGACCCTCCTAGAACTGTTCAGAAGCAGCAGCCAGCGGCACCTTGCTACATGAGCACGCACAGTTGCCCGATTGGCAGAAGCTGCACGGGAAGCCCATGGAATACGCAGCCTGTTACCACCTGTTTTGTGCGACGGTGGAACGACCCACGGAACGATATATGAAACGACCTACGGAACGACTCATAGAACGACCCATGGAACGGCATACGGATGACTAACGAAACGACCCGTGGAGCAACCTGTGCATACGGCAGCAAATAACAGGCCCCTCCCACTCTCACGCTCTCACACACGCGCACACACACCTGTGGGAATGCCAAGTATCTTGGATCCCCTGCCATAGCCCTTGATTACAGGCCCTTTCATGTACCAGGGATCGATGGGCAGTGATGCATGCACCCCTGGAGGAGGGAGATCAGAGGTGACAGGAGAGTGAAGGGGGAGGGGGGTGGGGGAAATGGGGAAGAGGGAGGGGGGACAGCATTGTTGGGGAGGGGAGGAATGGAAAAGGAGAGAAAGAGGTGGTTGGGAAGAGGGTAAGGAGAGGAGAGGAATGGGGATTGGTGGTAATGCCCAGGATCTTGGACCCCCTGCCATAGCCCTTGATCACAGGCCCTTTCATGTACCAGGGATCGATGGGCAGTGATGCATGCACCCCTGCAGGGGGGTTAGAAGTGTCAGGAGAGGGAAGGGGGAGGGTGGCAAGGGGGGGGAAGAGCGGGAGAGAAGGGGGGTTGGGGGAATGATGTTTTTAGAATGGGAAGGGAGAGAAAGTGGTGGTCGGGATAAGAGACGACTTTTGAGCTAAGTGGCAAAAGACGCTGGGCGCGTCATGCGTCCTGCGTCTGGACGCAGCGTCCGGACGCAGGGACGCTGGACGCGCATCCAGACGCAGGACACACGGCATATTTTTTTTCGGGCTGACCGGATTTTTTTTTTCCCGATCGCGAAGTTGACATTCGCGATTTCGACGCGAATGTCAATGTCGCGAAATTTCGACCCCCTAGACCCATTTCGACCATCAAAAACAGCCCACACACAATTCTCCTTCGTAAACCCTTGAGGGTTTACTACTACCTTTCGCTCCATAGTGCTACCTTTCGCTCCATAGCTATCTTTTTGCCTCACATGTGTGATACGTCGTCCTCCCCCCCCTTCCCATGCCCTATAACGTGTTTTTTTGGCTGCCTGGGGTTTTTTTTTGCCCTGCCCGGGCCTGCGTCTTTTGCTGCGTCTCAAAGGCCCACATCATGCGTCCTGCGTCTAAGACGCTGCGTCTGGACGCACCCGTCTTAGACGCAGGACGCGTCTTTTGCCACTAAGCTTTTGAGGCGCATAAAAAGGGGGGTTGGGGGAATGGTGTTAGTACGCGGGGGAGGAATGGGAAGGGAGCTGGCAGTAGTGGACAGGTGGACAGGTGGACAGGGAGGGAAGGGAATGGTGTTCTTACGCAGGGGAGGGATAGGAAGGGAGGGAAAGAGGTGGTCGGGGAGGGAAGAGGGGATGGGGGGGGGGGAAATGAGGTTGGGGTGGGGAGGAATGGGTTGGGGGGGTGAGGGTAAGAAGTGGTTGGGAAGGGGTTAAGAGTAAGTGGGGATGGGGGAATGGTGGGGTTGATAAAGCATTGTCAGCTGACAGAACAAAAAAAAAAACGGCTTGCTGTACACAAGGAAAGCAAAGCACTTGCAGAAGAAACGCCAACAAGGTGGGAATTTGGTTGGGCAAGTACCCTAAACCCGACGGACATCAGAGGGCAAATTTGATTTACCCTGACTACTGAGCCATCAGATCAGAGAGGTCAAGCGCCAAGACCCAGAGGGGGGGTCTCAGATGGAAAAGCCGCATAGTTTGCACAGAGATGAGGCCAATAGAGCCCCATACAGGAGCCATGACTTTGCGTTTGCTGCTGCCGCATATGTTTTTTTGAGAATTCTAAAAAAAAAGACGTTGCAGGAGATGAGGCAAGTAAAATGCAGTGGCTGTGATTGAGGCCGCCACAGTGTCTCTTGATGCACCACTGCTTCAGGTGCAGTGGCTGTGATTAGGGTAGATCGGAGGTTTAAGTGACAGCCCTTCCCCCCCCAAGGTGTTCACTTGGACTCAGAGCAGAGCAGAGCAGGGCAGGCGCTGTTCACTTTATGCTGCTCCAAGTGAGCAACGGTTGCTTCCATACGATTGCTATGGAGATTGTTCGTTCAGGATCGATTGGAGGAGGACAGATGATTACGCGCTGTAACAACCACGGCAAACACATCATGCACAAGGTCAGTCCAAGGCGCCGAGGCAGTAGTTTGGGAATGATGGCACGTAGTTAGCCTGGGATTTTTCTGTTGTTTAGTGCTAATGAGCAAGACTCACAGTCAGCGAATGGTAGCGAAGGGTAGCGAAGGGTGGTAGGGCCCCGTGTTTTGAGTCGACTCAACCCACGGCAAGTACATCATGCACGAGGTCAGCCCGAGGAGGTAGTTTGAGGATGATTGTTTCTGCTGTTTGGTGCTGCAAGACTCACAGTCAGTGAAGGGTGGTAGGCCCCAGTCCGTTGGTTGGAAGTCTAGTAGTGAAGCAAGGATCTGGTGGGCCAGTTGTCTTCTTAACTTATAATCGAACGTCAGCAGTATGTGAAGATGACGCTTGAGCAACAGGATGAACAGTGAAATAAATAGTGCGAAAAAGGCAGATCTAAAAAACGCCCTGTCTCAAAAACGCATTGTCTAAAAAACGCCTTGTCTCATCTTCACGTACTGCTGCCCTACTATTATGAGTCAAGAAGACTCACAGTCACTGAAGGGTGGTAGGCCCCAGTCCGTTGGTTGGAAGTCTAGTAGTGAAGCAAGGATCTGGTGGGTTGGGTGGTAGGGTAGGGGGAGAGGGAGAGGGAGAGGGAGAGGGAGAGGGCGAGGGAGAGGGCGAGGGAGAGAGAGAGGGCAGAGGAAGAGAGAGAGAGGGAGAAGGTGAAAGGAGAGGGAGGGGGAGAGTTGGGGGTGAAGAGGATGAAAAGAACAAGGAGAGGCGCGCGGAGGAGAGGAGGGTTGTAGAAAGGGTGAGAAGAACAAAAATCCAAAAACAAGGAAGGCAAGATGCGAGGATAAGAGATGAGAATGGAAGTGCAGAGAGCAGAAAAAGAGTCGAGAGACGAAGAGGAGAGGAAAGTAGTGAGGAGGAGATGGGAGGTGAGGGGAGGAGAGGGGAAGGGAGAGGAGGGGAGCAAACACGAGGAGCACAATTTGAAAGGACAAAGGTAGGATGGGGGAGGTGGGAGGGGGGAGGGTTGAGGGGGGTGGGGGAGGTGGGAGGGGAGGTGGGAAGGGGGAGGGGGGAGGGGGGGAGGGGGAAGGGGGGAGTGGGGAGGGGGGAGGTGGGAATGGGGAGGGGGAAACACACATGCGGTCTCAGTCACAGCGAAAGCACCCACCTATCTGAAGAACATAGCGGCAAGGAATTGAAGCAATGACAAGTGAACTCCACCACAGCAAGGCGACCTCTGAGGCGCAGAGGCAAATCAAAAGCTCCCATCTGGTAGCTACCACAGTAACCACGTGCCTTTTGAGAATTCTCAAAAGTGACTCCCATCTGGTACCACGAGAGACGCGGCCTACTGTATGTATGGTTTGGAACGGCCCAGGAGGGTGACTGGGGGACAGAGTAGAGTGCCCGACTGGCGGAGAGGAATTTTGAGGCGAATCAAAAGCCATCTGGTACCACGAGAGACGCGGCCTACTGTATGGTTTGGAACGGCCCAGGAGGGTGACTGGGGGACGGAGTAGAGTGTCCGACTGGGGGAGAGGTTCCAGAAAGGGTTCAGAAGGGTTACTTGGTGTGCGGAGGAGTAGAGTGCCCGTGCGGCCTTCTGTGGCAGAGAGGGGACAGCCACGACATGCATGCCCGCTGCCCTGGCTGCCTGCACACCTGCTCTGAAGGGGAGTACAGAGGAGGGGAAAACCAGGAATAGCCCAAAGGGGGCGTAAACGGGGTGAAAAGAGGAAGAGGTGGAGGAAAAAGGAATGGCGTGTGTGTGCGGATGAGAGGACATGGGAACGAAACTGTTTGAGGATGTGAGTAGATGCGAGTGGCCTTCTGAAACTGTAGTGGTGTGATGGATGCAGAGACAGGCAGCCATGCAGGGGAGGAGAGAGAAAGGGAATTGCACGGGCGCATGTTGGTGGGGTGATAGGTGCTTTTGCAAGAGGGAATCGACTTCCGTTCCATCCATGATGGGAGTGGAAGAGGGGGCAGAATGATGAGGACGAGCTATCAGCACAGTCTCGCATAGGGTCACGCAATCAGCACACGCACTCACAGAGACGTGCGATTAGAACACGCACTCACAGAGACGTGCGTTTAGCACACGCACTCACAGAGACGTGCGTTTAGCACACGCACCCACAGAGACGTGCGTTTAGCACACGCACTCACAGAGACGTGCGATTAGCACACGCACTCACA